GTTCATGCTATTTCTCTACTACACTGAGGGCATGAACATGAGCCGTTACTCTTTCCGTGTTCCAGACCACACCTAGCACAGGGAAGAGCGTTCACTCACTTATTCAAGAATTGTTTACTGAGCTCTGAATCTCTTGTTTACTGTGCCAGGGTCTGGGGACACAGCTGCAAATATGACAGAGTCCTTGTCTTTGAGATCTCTTTCTGAGAAGTATCCATTTGATCCTGTCTCTCTTCCTTTAAGAGTAGAATTTCCTGTATGCTTCTGCATGTATGTTGATAGAAGCAATGTCAGTGAAAAATTATGTGAGCTTCAAAGAGGTCCCAGGGAGGAAAAATCAGAGAACTGATATTGTAGATATGTCTTGTTGCTGCAGCCTTGGTTTTATGGTAAAAATATGGAAAACAAGAAATTGACTTATCCAGCAAATTTACATTGGACTGAATCTTCTTACTCTATGCTTCCACATCAACAGAAAAATAAGAATTAAACTTGAATAGTACATTTTGAAAAATAAATAAATTCACAAATACACATACATAGAAGTGGCACCTGAAACAACTTTTTAAAGGATTAGCACAGAGGCACATTTAAGGTATAGGGAAGGCTTAGAAAGAAGTGAGAGGAGAGTTTTAGACAGGAAGGAGCAGACTAATTCACACACACCGAAAAAAATACCTAAAAACAAAATATCAGAGGCAAGAAAGAGTATGAAAAATTTTTGGTATGATTGAAGCAAAGAATGTGTAGAGAACAAGAGCAATGATAAAACTAGAAAGTTAGATAAGAAAAGGCAAGCATAAGACATATTTACATGCCATGCTAAGGAGATTGGAACTTCTGTGGATGAAATGGGAGCCATGTAAGGGTTTTAATCATTAAGTGTTCAGGTCAAATTTTCATTGTGTAACTATCATTCATGAAGTCTACAGGGCTTGGAAAAGAGAGGAGAGGACAGAGACTGAAAGAAGGAGATTTATTAGTAATTAAGGAAAAAAATGATAGTGCTGTTGGTGATGGGAATGAGAAAAGCAAGCATTAAAAATTTTTAAGTTAATACAATCAACATGGTTTTTTAAATTTAATTTACTTTTTATAGAAGTACAGTTGAATTACAGTGTTTTGTTAATTAATGCTGTGTACAGCAAAGTGACTCAGGTATACATATATATTCTTTTCCATATTCTTTTCCATTATGGCTTATCTCAGGATATTGAATATAGTTCCCTGTGCTATACAGTAGGACCTTGCTGTTTCTCCATTCTATATATACCAGTTTGCATCTGCTAATCCCAAATTCACAATCCAACCCTCTCCCACCCTCCTCCCCACTTGCCAACTGCCGCTTCTGAGGTGCTGGAAGCAAAAGCAGACTACTGCACATGATCCCTGCACTCCAGCCCGACCCACTGATCCATCCCTACCCTCACCCCACGTAAAGGATCAACTGGCTGCCCCCACCCCGGGGAGCCAGCAAGAGCATCTGTTACTTGTTTTCATTCCCTCGTGCTGCATCATGAGTCCCAGTAAAGCCTGGCCTGAATTTCTCGTCTGGCCTCTTATTAATTTCTATTGATTAAGGTGTCCAGTAACTCAGGTTGGTAACAAGCAACAGCAGCTTGAACAAAATGGAAATTTATTTCTCATGTAAAAGTCCAAACAGGGTGTTGGTACTCTGTGGAGGGCAGCAGCAAGTGTGCCCCATCCGGTCTTTTTTTAAAAATTTATTTTATTTATTTATATTTTATTTATGGGTGTGTTGGGTCTTTGTTGCTGCACGCGGTCTTTCTCTAGTTGCAGCGAATGGGGGTTACTCTTCATTGCGGTGAGCGGGCTTCTCATTGTGGTGGCTTCTCTTGTTGTGGAGCACGGGCTCTAGGCGCACAGGCTTCAGTACTTCTGGCATGCGGGCTCAGCAGTTGTGGCTCCCAGGCTCTAGAGCGCAGGCTCAGTAGTTGCGGCACATGGGCTTAGTTGCTCTGCAGCCTGTGGGATCTTCCTGGACCAGGGCTCGAACCCGTGTCCCCTGCATTGGCAGGTGGATTCTTAACCACTGCGCCACCAGGGAAGTACCCCCATCTAGTCTTTATGGAGGTGCTCTGGGGCTTCTGTCCTTTTGTCGCTCAGTGCTGGTTTGCATTGTGGGTGGTAGCGAGGCTGGACAAAGTGCCCAGAGACAACTTCAATTCCAGATGAAAATTAGTGGCAGGAGCTGCAGGAATTGAAGAACATGAATGGCAGTTGCCAGTCATGGCAGAGCATGGTGTGGCTTCTGGTCTCACACAATCACAGGGGCCTTGATTCCTTCAACTCCTCACCAGAGGCTCAGGGGCAGGCATTCAGCTCTCTTGGTACTACAGTCCCTCTTGAAAGATTTCCTTAGTGAACAATAGTCATTTCAGATTCTGATCATCTACCTGTTTAATGAGTCTGAAATGCTTTGCAAGCCAGTTGTTCTTCTAGTGGGCAGCAGTGGCTCTACTGCCCTGTCGGGACAAAGAGGAAAGGTCTGGACGAGTCTCAAGACTTCCCTCCCCCAACCCAAATTGCTTCCAGACATGACTTTTCTTATTGGTTCTCTCTCCTATGACCTTGAAATGAGAGAAGAAAGCAACTTTATTCCAGAAAATTCAGAGGCAAACGAAGGTTACAGGTGTCCCACCCAAGACCCTGACCTGGAAGGCCAGAGCAGATCCCATATTTATATAAGGAATTAGTAGAGTCCTGTCAGTCCCAAATTAGCTTAAGGCTTTGGCTTTGACATGAATGCCAGTCAACACAACCCATGTGATCTGAAGGGTTTTAAGAAGCAAGTTTGTTCCCACATTTGGAACAGAAACTAAAGTAGGACCAAACAGTCCTTGTGAAAGCTGGGCTAACCCAGTTTTCCTGTAGCTCCAGGCCTCTGGGGTTTTATCCAAGCTGCTCAAAAATGCATTCCAATATACAGTAGGTGCAGACAAATACTGTTTGATTCCACTTATATGAGGTACCTAGAATAGTCAAATTCATAGAATCAGAAAGTACATTGGTAGATGCCAGGGGCAGGGGGATGTGGTGAGGGGGTGGAAAGGGGGAATGGGGAGTTAGTGTTTAATGGGGACAGAGTTTCAGTTTAGGAAGGTGGAAAATTTGGGAGACGGATGATGGTGAGAGTTGGGGGGACAATGTGAATGTACTTAGTGTCACTGAGTTGTACAGTTAAATGTGGTTAAAATAGTATGTTTTATATTATATGACTTTTACTACAATAAAAAAAAAACATTAAAAATAAAAAAGGAAATGCAGTTTGAAGGCACACTTTCCATTTCCTTCCAAATGTACATTGCAAGGGTTACAGAACCCAGATCAGAACTATAACATACGCTGCACGATCTACAACAGGGCTGGTTTACTCAACCTGCAGAGGAATGCCAAGAAGGAGGCCCTGTACACGTGAGAAGGCTGCACAGGCAGTGCGATAGCAGCATTCCAGGGAGCCATCCACGAGAGCACCTTGGGACTAGCCCGTGCTTCACCCTGCCCCCGACTCATTTGCCCTATGAAGCTCTTGGGTCCCTGCCAGACAGAAGCTCAGACTGCTCTGCACCTCCCACCTTCCCCTGCTCAGCACTCCCTCTGAGTCCAAAGCAGTTCACCCCGAAGTGGAAATCCAGGGCCACCACATTGTTACATCCCCGCTCCCAATCTGTGTAGGATGTTCCATCACTGTCAAGGAGCTACCATGCCTTCCTCACTGCTTTGCTGCTGACATTCTTGTCACCCAGTTCCTGTGCCTGCAACAGCCCTGCTTCTCCCCATTCAGCAGCCCATCCTCCTTGCTCTGCTAGTGCTTTGATGGAAGGTTAGGGAGGAGGGTGTCCAATTGCCCAAAGCTGTGGCTGCAGATACAAAGCTTCCTCTTTTCAGATCCTGGGATACTTTCTTCCTTCTTTTGTCTCCTGGGAGTTTTCTATAACCTTCAAAGCTGTGCTCTGACGCTGGCCTTTGGGTGTGGCCTGTGGTAGGTGGTGTCCCCGGCATCAGCAAAGGCCTTGACTCAACATGATTTTTTAAACAACATAAATGTTGTAAAGTGAGGAAGAAGCCATATTGGAGGATGATTTTAAGATTTGTGGAATAGGCAATTAGACAATACATCCTGATAATCACTGAGATATTGAAAGTAGAATAAATTTAGTTATTAGGAGTGGATGGAAGGGGGAAGTGAAAGTTTAGTGTGGAACATATTGTGTTGAGGTGCCTGGGACATCCTCTTGGACGTCTTCAACTATTTTCTTCTTTCTAACTTTCCTTTCTCCTTGAATGATCTCATCACCATTTATGAATATTGAATATTGATGGCTCCTAGATCTATATCCCAGCCAGGATCACCCTCTTGAATATCAAATTCCTATGTCTCTTCCCTACTTAGTTTTATAGACTTAAACTTTGAACTCAGTTTTCTCATCTGTAAACAGCAATACCAAATCCTCATCATAGGATTATTTTGATAATAAATTAAGTAGAACATGCAAAATGCATGGACCATAGTAAGTGCTTAATAAATATTGGTTTACCAAGAATTTTCCTAATCAGTTCCTACAAATCTTCTCTTTTTGAATTCTCCAATTCTTGAGTAAAGCCAAAGTGAGAGTCTAACTCTATGTTTTTGAAAAGGAAGTAAATAATTGTAATCAGGAACTTAATTTACCTCTTCTGGTTTCTCCGTATCTTGGTATTACACATACGATAGGTATTCAGAAAATAATAAACTTACTTTTAAAGGAAGCATCACAAACAGAATTATATCAACTACAGGACACACTTTAAAAGATTTTGGCTTACTATAAAAGGTAAGTATGTGGTTTGGAAATTTCAGTCTGTGTACATGGAACTCCAATGATCTGTAGAGGTGCTTTGAAGTTCCACAAAGTACAGAAGAAACAAATCTCACACACACCCACCCACACTCACACACACACACACACACACAAATGAACACACACCCCTACCTGGGAGGCTTTATTATCATTTTTGTTTGTTTTATATATTGGAATTCCATGGAGATTTTATTTGAATAGAAAGTTCCAGAACATAGTCAATATCTTACTTGAATAAAAAGTTCCACTGATAAGAATAAAAGAAAAATTTGGAAATGACTACAGGAACATTTGCATCATTACAAGCCTGTCACTTCTTTTATGGAATAAACATTATGGGATTATTTGGACTTAATTCTTGAGAGATTCCAGGGATAGCTTGGTTTACTAATAATTTTTCAGATTAAAACTTATAGCCTAGAAATCTTTTTCTACCCTCTGCATTGCTACTACACTTGTCTCTGTCTTAATGCTCTAGGACAGATATATGTGAAATGACAGTACTTGGGCCAGCTGACTGTGGACAATTTCACTACATTTAAAACTACCTTAGGTCTCTGAGAAATTATTACTTGACTGTAGTTATGTTAAAGAAGGACTTCATATTCAGTAATAGCACATATTTATCATTTTCTTCCTAAGACAATGGAAAGTTCACTATTTTTTTTTCATCTTGGATTATTATTTTAAAAATCATGTACTAGAAACAAAGCAATAATACAATTTTCTATTTCCTTCACTAAATTATAAGTAAGAAATTATCTAGCACAATGAATAAATCATTACACAGCCTTATAAATCTAAAAAGTTTTATTTAACCAACACAACCATATCGAATAAAATCAGTCTGGGGGAAAATTAGTTGATTGCTAATTAGTGGGAAATAATATATGTTTGGACAACACACCCAACAGAATGTCATAGAGTTTGATGCAAACTTCAGTCCAGCTCAATATCCTTTGGCTTATGCTTTCTCATAAACTCTGGTAGCAGTGACACAATTCATGATACATTCCTAGGCACAAAAAAAATTATTGGTAAATCCCTGGGACTAAACCACTTATATTTTGTTTATTGTCTCCTTCAATGTTGGGAAGGAAACAATATTCATCAAAAGATATTTGCTCTGGGCTCTTATTATATACCTGATATTGTAATAAGCTAGGGAAATATAAAGATCAAGAAGATATAAGTCTTGCCCTCAAGGAATCTTACAATCTATGTGGTGAGTGAGAAACATAATTAGAAATGCACAATACAATATGGTTCATATTGAGAGGGATGAGGGAATGCTTCCTGGGGGACAGTATACCTACACTGAGCTTAAAAGTATGAAGGATAATTGCCAGAGTGAAACCATAATCCCAATAGAGTAACCTTTTGTTCTACAAGGACAATTATCTGTTTCTCTAGGTAGAATAACGATTATGGAATGACCTAGCAGTAGAATCTAGAATTAAGTAGCCAGAAGATACTCACCACCACCAGTTTGTCATCCACTCGTTTTCTCTTTATGGTGGTTGATTTTCCATCCCACTTCTGCACCTGCACCAGGGCACCTTCATCTAAGATTACGGTGCTCTGCGGGCATAATAAAAAAGTGATTATAATGATGGAGGAAAATAAAATTTAAAAATAGAGCACTTTTATTTGCAGGAATATTTTGAGGTAATTAGTAATTTTAAATTACAAGAAAATGTTGCAACAAGGAAACAATGAGTGCCAAAAACAACGTACAAAATTATATGTATATTATGATCAGAATATTATACAAACATGCACTTGAAAAAATACTGTGAAAGAATATAGATAATAAATTTATGTTGAGATAGTAGAATCATAGGTGATTTTTACCTTTTTTTCCCACTCTTTTATAAACGTTCTCTAACACTGTTACGTTATTTTAATTCACTTCAAATACTATATATATATACATATGGTATGACAAATAAATTATGTTAATCATTTTTTAAACTAATAAGGACCATTTTATAGAAAGGGAGAAAATTCACCAGCTAAATATTGAAGGCAACGTAGTTCAGATCTAGGAGTCAGGGATCTTTGGCTTACGGTGGAATGGGTTTCCTCCTTTTACAAAATGGCTTCTTGTAGGCAGCGGTCATTTAGAAACCAGCGTTTACTCTGCTCCAATTCCCTATTTCTCACCTTGACTTTCCTGTCATCTGCAGTGACTTCCTCAAATTCCTGGCTCAATTTGAAGGAAATCTCAGTATTTTTAAAGGTACTTTCTGATTTAATGGTGATCACATCCCCATTCACACTGATGATCACATTGGGTTTGGCCATGCCAGCCACTTTCCTGGTAGCAAAGCCCACTCCTATAGTTGGGAAAAGAAAAATGTCAAGTTTACAATTTTCTCTCACATCTTTATTTAAGAAAGAGCAGTAGTGTGTGTGTGTGTGTGTGTGTGTGTGTGTGTGTGTGTGTGTAGGTGGGTGCACGTGTGCATAAAATGTGAAAGACTCCAGTGAGTTTCTTAAAGGTCTTATGAAACATCTCCTGCAGATAAGTAAAGTAGGCTAATACTTAAAGAATGCCTGAGGCACAATTAGATGTAAGTCTGTTCTTTAAATTTCCACTTCCGGGTTTCAGATACAAGTCTTTAGGAGACCCATTATTAATTTTCCACAAGAATATGTACAAAGATTAAGTCTTGTGAGACATACATATTTTAAAAGTCACTGCACTCTCGAAATAACTGGCCATCTTAACCATGAGGGCAGCCACTCTCATTTTACTCAGTTCATGAAACACTTGGGAATCTCTATCTTTCCTTCTTAGATAACAAAAGTGATCTAATCCATAGTCAAAGACAATAGGATTTGGGGGACCACTATACAGTTACTCGATTAAAAATTAATCTGTTTGCGGGCTTCCTTGGTGGCGCAGTGGTTGAGAATCCGCCTGCCGATGCAGGGGACGCGGGTTCGTGCCCCGGTCCGGGAAGATCCCACATGTCGCGGAGCGGCTAGGCCCGTGAGCCATGGACGCTGAGCCTGCGCGTCCGGAGCCTGTGCTCCTCAACGGGAGAGGCCACAACAGTGAGAGGCCCATGTATCGCAAAGAAAAAAAAAAAAAAATTAATCTGTTTGGGTGTCCAAAATTCACATTTCATGGCATTTGCTGCCAAGTCTAGTTTTCTTGGCTTTTCCAAATTACTCCACCATGAAATGAAGATTTAGATTAATTTTTCCAAAAGTCAAAATGTTTCCTGCATGCATAACATTTTAGAATGGTGATGTTCCCAATAAACTATAGAAGATGCTAAAGAGGGCTTAGGCATCAATTGTGAAAACTTCAAAGTTTAAGAAATCACTATTTTAGTAAGTTCAGAAATTAATACTTTGATTCCCAATCACTTAAGTGGCAAAATCCTCTTTTTGAAAAAGAGGAGTGTATTTTTTGGGATGTGTGGCAGTTATGGGACGAACAATTTACAACCTAATGTAGACAGCAAGCAGTACCTTACTGTCGCTGCATAAATTATAATTTACGACTGCTATAGATGTGTTGTATTTTTAAATGCATGTGCATAAATTTACAATACTTTTTTGACTACTTATAGATACCAAAATTTAGGAATAGTGGGGATCAGGGAGGCAAATATCGTACAAAACAAGCAATACCGAAGCTCTGATTTAGCTCCCCGTCCAAAAGCAGCAACAAGTGGGTAGATAATATGCTGTTTCAGCAAGTCCTGTCTGTGTTACAAAATATAATAACCTCAAATACATGGAGTGAGTCAACATAGTGAATGGATGCAACACCCGGTGTGGTTCCAGACTGACCAAGCTTATGAAAATCATTCTCTCCACTGGCTTGATTCTGTCCTCATTTGACGGTTGAAAACAATACCTGCTGACTGAAGGTAATCAACTAGAGAAGCTAATTTCAGGAGGTATCTTATTATCTTTCATTATCATCAATACCTTATCATTTTAAAACACAGTGGTATAAGAATTTAAATATAAATACTAAAAGTGTAAAATGTTTCTAAAAATAGTAAATAGCCTCAAATACAGACATATCTGTATCAGTGCATATTAATTAGTTTATTGAATTACAACCAGTTGATATTCTACAAAGCTAGGTTTCACTCATGTTGAAGTCCCTGATTTCCCTCTTGTCTGCAAACAAGGAAAACAGTAGTTATACACAAGCAAAAAATATACTATAAGATTTAGAAGAAGGTTAAGTCTTGAGATTTACGGATTCAATCATAACCTCTAATAAAGATATTGTGAAAAAAAATCCCTCCCCAATTTGCAACCCCTGGATACAACTTGATAATGCATGGTCGTGGCTGCCTGAGTGAAATACTGCCTCTCTACTCCTTTGCTTTAACTTTGTAATTATCTGGGGAACACACAGGCAATGTTACCAGAACCTAAAAACCTGAAAGCCTCTATTATCAATAATTCTATGGCATCCCATATAATTTTAAATCAAACAAATATTTAAGACTTTTAAGGAACATATTTTCTGAAATTGAGACTTTTTCTCCCATAAAACAACCACACATTTTAATGGATGGACCTTAAAACAATTGGCTAACATACATTACTCAAAAAATTACATTAAGATGAGAAATGCAGTGCTTTCAGTTTCAAATGGAAATTATTGCATGCTAGGAAATACAGTTTTATTTCCAAGTTATTGCTTATTTTATATGCAAAAGGAATCAATAAAAAGAGACAGAGAGTCAAGTAAACCAAAGATACTCAAGTTTATCAATCAAATAAAATCTTGGCATTTCTGTACAGCATAACAATTCCATTTATACCCTTTTTCATATTAGTTCACCTTAAGGAAGCATTAGTTGTGACTTCCATCTAGAATGTTTCTAGAAACAAATGATTCACACATGTTACTTTTATCGCCTCTATATAGAAAGCAGAATTTCATGTCTGGCCAGTGCTTCCAGAGTGAAAAACAGCCACAAAGCACTCTTCCCCAGAGAAAAAGTTATAAACCCAGCCACTGTATTTCCTTACCCACTTCTTTCATATAATCTTCAAAGTTTTCACTGGAGACAAGTTTCCAGGTACCTACAAATGCATCACACATTTTGGGAGCTTTCTAGAATTATTCTTCAAGGTGAGAAAGAAGCTGCAGCTTTCAGGAAGGTGCTATTACCCTCTGAGTCCAGAAAACTTCCTTTTAAAGATACCCAGGACAAGTGATTTTTAGGAATAACCAATTGGGAATGGTATCAGATCATTTCCTTCATTGCCAGACTCTGCGGTTTTTCCTTTGAGTCATGTTTTTCATAGAAATTTCTCAACTTTGGTTCTTCCTGGCAAATGGTCATTGAACTTAGAGTACAACTTATTTTTAACCATTACAGAATATTTTAAATATTTCTATTTTGACAGTTTAATATTCAGTGAATTGAATTTCCTCCTATTATTTTCATACATATTTATCACAGTGTAGAGTACAGCAGGGTAATTATCTTGGGATAAATTTTGACTCCCATTTCTGGAGTTTCTATTAAAATTACAATTATGTGGTTCGTTTGAATTGAGGAACATAAGAATTATCTTGTATATTCTTAAGTAATTGCAAAGGCTCTTTGGGGCAGTACTGTCTCAGGAATTACCTGGAAATTAAAACAAAATAAGTAATGGTATTTTAAAAATATTTATTTATTTATTTTTATACAACACGTTCTTATTAGTTACCTATTTTATACATATTAGTGTGTATATGTCAATCCCAATTCCCAGTTCATCCCACCACCACCACCACCCCCCACCCTGCTTTCCCCGCTTGATGTCCATACATTTGTTCTCTACATCTGTGTCTCTATTTCTGCCTTGCAAACTGGTTTATCTGTACCATTTTTCTAGATTCCACATATAGGTGTTAATATATGATATTTGTTTTTCTCTTTCTGACTTACTTCACTCTGTATGACAGTCTCTAGGTCCATCCACATCTCTACAAATGACCCAATTTCATTCCTTTTTATGGCTGAGTAATATTCCATTGTATATATGTACCATATCTTCTTTATCCACTCATTTGTCAATGGGCATTTAGGTTGATTTCATGACCTGGCGATTGTAAATAGTGCTGCATTGAACATTGGGGTGCATGTGTCTTTTTGAATTATGTATTTTTCTGGATATATGCCCAGTAGTGGTATTGCTGGGTCGTATGGTAATTCTATTTTTGGTTTTTTAAGGAACCTCCATACTGTTCTCCATAGTGGCTGTATCAATTTACATTCCCACCAACAGTGCAAGAGGGTTCCCTTTTCTCCTCACCCTCTCCAGCATTTGTTTTTTGTAGATTTTCTGATGATGCCCATTCTAACTGGTGTGAGGTGATACCTCATTATAGTTTAATTTGCATTTCTCTAATAATTAGTGATGTTGAGCAGCTTTTCACATGCCTCTTGGCCAGCTGAAGGTCTTCTTTGGAGAAATGTTTATTTAGATCTTCTGCCCATTTTTTGATTGAGTTGTTTCCATTTTGAATATTGAGCTGCATGAGCTGTTTATATATTTTGGAGATTAATCATTTGTCTGTTGATTCATTTGCGAATATTCTCTCCATTTCTGAGGTTTGTCTTTTCGTCTTGTTTACAGTTCCCTTAACTGTGCAAAAGCTTTTAAGTTTCATTAGGTCCCATTTGTTTATTTTTGTTTTTATTGCCATTACTCTAGGAGGTGTATCAAAAAAGATCTTGGTGTGATTTATGTCAAAGAGTGTTCTTCCTATGTTTTCCTTTAAGAGTTTTATAGTGTCTTGTCTTACACTTAAGTCTTTAATCCATTTTGAGTTTATTTTTGTGTATGGTGTTAGGGAGTGTCCTAATTTCATTCTTTTTGTTTTCCAGCACCACTTATTGAGGCTGTCCTTTCTCCATTGTGTATTCTTGCCTCCTTTATCAAAGATAAGGTGACCATATGTGCATGGGTTTATCTCTGTGCTTCCGATCCTGTTCCATTGATCTATATTTCTGTTTTTGTGCCAGTACTATATTGTCTTGATTACTGTAGCTTTGTAGTATAGTCTAAAGTCAGGGAGTCTGACTCCTCCAGTTCCATTTTTTTTCCCTCAAGATTGCTTTGGGTATTCAGGGTCTTTTGTGTCTCCATACAAATTTTAAGATTTTTTTTTGTTCTAATTCTGTAACAAATGCCAAGTAATGGTAAAGTACCCCAGCTTTCTCATTTCAAATGTTTTGTAAGAATGAAAAAGAAAAAGTAAATTCAATTATCCACCAGGAATCTGGACAGCAGATTTAATTAATAAATGATCATTTAACCTCACTCATTCCATCCCCTAAATGAGAGCATAGTGTGGATTTCCACAGACCTCTTAAAAATTAGGCTCTGGGCTTCCCTGGTGGCACAGTGGTTGAGAGTCCGCCTGCCGATGCAGGGGACACGGGTTCGTGCCCCGGTCCGGGAGGATCCCACGTGCCACAGAGCGGCTGGGCCCGTGAGCCACGGCCGCTGAGCCTGCACGTCTGGAGCCTGTGCTCCTCAACGGGAGAGGCCACAACAGTGTGAGGCCCGTGTACGGCAAAAAAAAAAAAAAAAAAAGGCACCAATCCAAACTGTGCTCCCCATACTGAGAAAATTCATCCAGTTCCTGAACTATATTATAAGCTCTAAATTTATCCAGATCTAAATGGTGTTGCTTTACTTAAAAACAATCAGAAGTGGGGTGGTCACAAGCAATCAAAATCTAATTTCCTTCGTTTACATAGTGAATAATTCATGAGAATGCTTTTCTAAAGTAACCATATTTTTCAGTCCCCCCCACCCCCTACCCCATACCAGAATGATGGAAGATCGTCACATAGGCAGCAAGTTCCCATGAGCACACCCAGACTTTAGAAAAGAAAACAAGAAATTAAAATACTATGGATGTGTTTAGTATCACTACACCGTGTATTCCATTGAACAGTATCTGCCAAGCACACGATTGATTTGTAAGTATCCTAAGGGCTTCCCAGAAATGGTTGAGATAGAGGATTCTGCAAAGGACAGGATTTTCTGTAGGCAAGCAAGTTGCTAAGAAAAACTGATAAAGTCATGTTACAATAGTAGTTTTTAATTGTTGCTTATGTTAATGGTGCAGTAATAATGTTTATTCACTCTGGACTGTTGCATAGATACATAGACTGTGGGTGGTGTATCATTCCGTGTAGACTTGCTATTATAAATTCACTGAACAAGAAAATAAAAATCATCTGTCTTCGTGCAGGGATAACTTTGTGTTCTAAATTAATAATGGCTTTTACTTTTTCATTTGTTTTTAGTTTGTTTTGTGTTTAAGACAATTTTTTTAGAGGTTTTATATTTACAACAAAATTGAAAGTTACAGCAATTTCTCACATACTCCCTGCCCCCACACAGGCATAGCCTCCCCTGTTAACAACATCACTCACCAGAGTGGTACATTTTTTACTAAGGATGAACCTACACTGATACATTACAACCACCCAAAGTCCGTATTTTACCTGAGGGTTCATTCTTGGTATTGTATGTTCTATGTATTTGGACAAAAGTATAATGACATGTGTTCATCCTTATAACATCATACAGAGTATTTTTACTGTCCTAAAAATCCTCTGTGCTTTGCCTATTCATCTTTCTCTGGCACTCCCACCACCTTCCCACAACTCCGTCAACCACTGTCATTTTCACTATCTCCAGAGGTTTGCCTTTTCCAGAATGTCATATAATTGGAATCATACAGTATGTGTCTTGTCAGATCAACTTCTTTCACTTAATAATATTCATTTAAGTTTCCTCCATATTGTTTCGTGGCTTAATAGCTCATTTATTTTTAGCACTGAAGAATATTCAGTTGCCTGGACATACTATGGTTTATTCATACATTCATCTACTGAAGGACATCTTGATTATTTCCAAGATTTGGTAGTTATGAATAAAGTTGTTATAAACATCCACATGCAGGTTTTTGTGTGGACATAGTTTTCAAACCCGTTGGGTAAATACTAAGGAGCGTGATAGGGTAAGACTTTGTTTAGTTCTGCAAGAAACTATCACATTGTCTTCCAAAAGGTCTTTGGAATTCCCACCAGCAATGAATGAGAGTTCAGCAGCATTTGGTGTTGTCAGTGTTTTGATTTTGGCCATTTTAATAGGTGTGTAGTGGTATCATTGTTTTAGTTTGCATTTTCCTGATGACATATGATGAGGAACACCTTTTCACATGCTTACTTGCCCTCTGTATATCTTCTTTGGTGAGGTGTCTGTTAAAGTCCTTGGCCCATTTTTTAAATTGTGTTGTTTGTTTCTTATTGTTTAGTTTAAGAGCTTTTTGTACATTTTGGATAACATTCTTCTATCGAATCTGTTTTTTGAAAATATTTGAAATATTTTTGAAAATATTTTCTCCCAGTCTGTAAATAATGGTTTACTTTTCAAAATATATGTTGATGTTTTACTTTTAGTAACAAATTGCTTCAGACAGATTTTCAAATGATTATCATATTTGAACATATATCATGTGTATTGTGACACTGCAATTTAAACATTTTTTTTTTTTTGCAGTACGCGGGCCTCTCACTGTTGTGGCTTCTCCTGTTGCAGAGCACAGGCTCCGGACGCGCAGGCTCAGCAGCCATGGCTCATGGGCCCAGCCGCTCCGCGGCATGAGGGATCTTCCCGGACCGGGGCACAAACCCGTGTCCCCTGCATCGGCAGGTGGACTCTCAACCACTGCGCCACCAGGGAAGGCCTAAACATTTTTTTAGAGATGGACTGTCTAATACTGTAGTCTCTAGTCACATGTGGCTCTCGAATACTTGAAATGTACTAATATGACTGAGAAACTTAATTTTTTATTTTACTCAATTTTAATTAAAATGTAAGAAATGATCCTGATTCAGTTGTTGGAAAACTTTTAAATATATGTGAAAGAACTTGAATATGTGAATCTACCTTTTCAACTATAAATTTTATGAAATGTAAATGTCTATGAAGCATTTCAAAATAAAATTTAGAATCTGAGTGGAGGTGTCCTGTTAGTATAAAATGCACATTAAATTTTGAGGACAATATGGAAAAAAGTACAATATCTCATCAAAAACTTTTACATTGATGGTGTGTTGAAATGACAACATTTTAGACATATTGGGTTAAATAAAATATATTATTAAAATTAATTTAACCCG